CTGAAAGCATTTTTCATCTCAGCTAAGCAAGCATGGCAAGAGGGATTCCCTATTACCATTTCCTCTCCCTAATCCCTCAAAAGGAATTTAAATACGATATGCAATTGTCTTCTCTTCTGCCTCTCTTGCAGTGCTGAAAATTATTGTTATTATTAGATTGTTATCCCACTTTTTTTTAATCTACGTATGTAACTCAAACAGAAACAAAGAAAACAAACAAGTGGCTATCTGATGATACTATCAAAATAACTGATCAGTAAAGAGCAGCCAAAGCCAAAGACAATAAGGATAAAGTTAAAAAGCTAGATGCAATTTTTCCCATTGAAGCTAGGAAAGACAATAATAGGCAGTGGGAGGAGCAGTGTCAACATCTGGAAGAACTTACTAGAAAGGGACACACTAAAGTCATGTTTGCTGTAGTGAAAATGATGTGATCCAGCATTTTAGCATAGCAAGGAACTGTTAAAGACCACAATGGGAATGTACTAAGTGATCAGCAGAAGATCAGGAACAGATGGAAATAATGTATGGAAGAATATATGGAAGGACTCTATAGCAGTTTGACTTACCATCAAGATGACAACAATGACAGTCCTTAATAAAGAACCAAACAAAAAAGATCTTTTTCAAGCCATGAGGAAATTGCCAAACTAGAAAGCCTCAGGTATTGAAGGAATACTCCAGAATTACTAAGACCAATGCCACTTAACATCATCACTATCTTGTGTCAAGAGATATGGACTACATATCAATGGCCTCAGGGCTGGAAAATATCTATTTTTTTATCCCATTAGTAAAGAAAGGCAATGGCAGAGATAGCAATTTTTGCATGATTGCATTGATTTCTCATGCAAGCAATATTCTGTTAAAATTATTAAATTTTGATGCTATGTACATTCTCTGTTAACTAAAAATACAATATCATTGCAGATAAATAATTGGACTGTAAATGGTATTTTGAATACCACTTTTACAGAATTACAGAATTCTGTAGAATATAGAGTTGGAGGGGAACTTGGAAGTCTTATAGTCCAACACCTTGTTCAAGCAAGATATCTTATATGATTCTAGACAAATGGCTATCCAATCTCTTCTTAAAAACCTCCAGGGATGGAGCACTCATAGCAACTGGAGGCAAGACATTCCACTGATTAATTGTTGTCATTGATATGAATGCTTAGGACAATATCCTCTTTGTGATAGCCTCTCAAATATTGGAAGACTGGTATCATGTCATTCCTAGTCCTTCTCTTCATTAGAGCACACAACCACATTTGTGCGATCATTCATCATACACTTTAGCCTCCAGTCCCGAATAATCTTTGCTGCTTCTGTTATTCAGTTCTGTTAGCTTCTAGTACAGCGGTGTCAAACACAAGGCCCATGGGCCGGATCCGGCCTGCAATGTTGTAGAATCGGCCTGCAGGGCCATCCTGGAAAATGTTAAGGGCCGGCCCACATCTACCCAATGCGAAGAGGAAACATCAGGCCAATGTGGCTTTGGTCCAGTCTACCCAGTATGAAGAGGAAACATGTCAGCAGTTTGGGGAGTGGTGTCAAGCTGGCCACTCCCACCCAGTCAGCCATGCCTGCTCAGTTGGCCACACCTGTCCAGCCTTCTGAGGTCAACCACAGCCCTCATGCAGCCCTCAATTAAATTGAGTTTGACACCCCTGTTCTAGTAATAGCCTTGATTGTTTCTAGGTGTTCATTGCTTGATTATCTTTTCCAGATCTTCCCAGGTATTGATCTCATGCTGCTTGGTCTGTAGTTTCCAGGATCCACACCCCCCCCCCTTTTTTTGAAGATGCCTCAACTCAGTATTTGTTTGTTTTATTTAAAATAAACTTTTTAAAAAAAGTTTTTATTAGATAAACATTAAAAGCATTGGACATAGTAAGACATTTCTGGCATAAACGTTTCCATATAATAATTAGATCTTACAACAGTTACATTTTATATCCATTCCATAGGTGTGTATAGTCAGTCAGATTACTTGTCTGTTGATCCTTTCTTTTATATAATTCCTAATCATACAAATACATATCCAATTCCTACTTATCACACATTTTTAATACCATATTTTCCAATTCTTAACTTGTCTGTTTTTCTGTCCCAGCCTTTTCCCCTCCTTTCTAACTATTGTTACAATTTGTCCCAAATTTCGTGATATTCCATCTCACCCTTGTCTTTGAACTCTAGAGTCAGTCTGTCCATTTCTGTACACATCAGTATCTTATTTATTATTTCTTGTTCCGTTCATTTTTCCATTTTTGTGCAAAAACTAGTCTTGCTGCCGTTAAAATATGCAGCATTAAATATAGTACATCTTTGCCATGTTTTTCTTTTGTGATCCCTAGTAGAAATAATTCTGGCCTCAACTCCATCTTTTGATTTAACATCTCTTCCAAATACTTTATTATCTGGTGCCAAAAAGCCCTAGCTTTCATGCCCTCCCATCACATATGGTAGAAGATCCCTAGTGGAGCATTGCATTTCCAACATTGTGGCGATTAAGTTTTTGTTAATTTTAGCTAATCTTGTGGGTGGGATGTGCCACCTATAGAACATCTTGTATAAGTTTTCCTTATATGAGGTGGCTAAAGTTAACTTTCCCATAAGTCTTGCCAATTGTCCAAATCTATGCTGTAACCAAAGTTTCTACTTCATGCTAACATGCTTTCCTTTACCTGCTCTTCTGCCATTGTATAATCCAATAGATATTGATATAATTTTTAAATCATTTTCTCCTCTTCACCTAGTAAAATTTTATCTAATTCTGTGGGTTCTTTCTTAATACCCCATTCTTTTTTATCGTTTATGTATCGAGATTGGACTTGTAAGTAAGTCCACCATTCCTGTTCTATTCCTTCCTCATATAATTCTCTTCTAGATTTTAGATCACCTCTTTCGTTTAGTATCTCCTTATAAGTAATTACTTTCCCTAAATTAATAAAATTCGGATGCACGAACATCTCCAACATCGATAACCAGTTTGGGTTTTCCATGTAGTTTTATTGTTTAATCATTAACCACACATAGTTCGTCTTATATGGTGCCTCTGGAAGTACTGGTGAGCTTTATGTTTTTCATCCCATAGGAAGGCGTGCCACTCCATTTTTATACCATGTCCTTCCAATGCTAATAGTCTTCTATTTTTAAGTCCTATCCAATATTTTACCTATGTTAGTGCTGCCACTTGATAGTATCTTTCCCAATTGGGCAATCTGATTTCTCCTCTTTCTTTGGAATCCTGTAAAAGTTTCAAATTAATTCTGGGCTTCTTTCCTTGCCAAATAAATTTAGATACCATTTTGCTTAAATTTCTGAAATATTCTTTCTCCAATCTTATTGGTATATTTTGAAATTAAAAAAGGATTTTGGGTAAGATGTTTATTTTGACTGTTGCTATTCTCCTCATGAAGGAGAGCTGTTAATTTTTCCACCGTTCTAAATTCACCTTAATTTGGTCAGTTTATTGTAATTATCTGCTTTGAGTGTTACACATCTCGCCGTTAATTGTATTCCTAAATATCTCACTTTCTTTGCTATTTGAATGTTTATTCTATCAACCAATTCATTTTTCTGCCCATTTGTTATATTTTTCACTAACATCTTAGTTTTTTCTTTATTTACCCTCAAACCGGCTGCTTCCACACATTCTCCCAGTAGTTCCATTAGCCTCATACCAGATCGCAATAGTTTTTCCATAATAAACACCAGATCGTCTGCAAATGCTTGGAGCTTAAATACTTCCTTTTTAATTTCTAGACCCTTAATATGCTCATCTTTTCGAATTATCCTAGTTAAAACCTCCAACATTAATACAAATAATAGTGGTGATAGTGGGCACCCTTGCCTTCTGCCTTTTTGGATTTTTAAGCACTGTGTTGTATTATTACCACTCTGGCCACTTGATTGCAATAAATTGCTTTAAACATATTTATGAAGTTTTCACCAAATTCCAGGTACTTTAACTGGCACAACATAAAATCCCATTTGACATTATCGAACACTTTTTGTGCGTCAATAAATATCAAAGCCATTTGTTTCTCACTGTGGACTTCATAATATTCTAGGACATCTAGTATCGTTCTGGTGTTATTTTTTAGTTGCCTTCTTGGCAAGAAGCCATTCTGATCCACATAAATAAATTCCCCCATAAATTTTTTTAGCCTTTCGGCCATTATGGCCATGAAAGTTTTATAGTCTGAATTTAACAAAGAAATGAGCCTATAGTTTTTGGTTACCGTCAAATCAGAGTTCTCCTTAGGGATAAGTGTAATATTTGCTTCTTCCCACAATGCCGGTATCTTTGCCTCTTTTAATACTGAACTGAAAACCTCTAATAGTATTGGCCCTAGAAGGTCTTGCAGCTCTTTATATATTTCAGATGGTAATCCTTCAGGACTGGACATTTTATTATTTTTTGCCTTTTTCTTGTTTCTGTCAACTCTAACAAGGTTATGACTTTGTTCAACATATACTACAGACCAATCATCTTGAGATCAATAGCCAGGAAAATCCTGGTAATGATCATTAAGCAGAGTATTTATGAGCACCTAGAAATGAACAGGATGATTCCTAAAAGGGTTTTGTTACGTTATGTGTTTGTTAAAAACAGATCATGCCAAACAAACTTATTGTCTTCTTTGATAAAGTGACTAAATTAGTGAAATGCTTGATTATCTTTGCCACGATCGTCCCAGGTATTGGTCTCATGTCTGTAGTTTCCAGGATCCAACCCTCCCCCCCTTTTTTTTGAAGATGCCTCCACTCAGTATTTGTTTGTTTTATTTAAAATAAACTTTTGTTCATTTTTAGTAACAGGTTACAATTTCAGTGTGCAAATACAAATCATACTTGTGTAAATTGGTTCCAGTTTATTTAAACATGATGGATTGCAAATATTTAATGTGATTGTAATATTATCTGGCAACCATTTTTGAGGCATTTTTATGTGATTGAGATCATTTATTGGAATTGTGGTTTGCTCCCAGAATGCCGTGAAGAGCAGTTTCCTTGCACACGTCTGTACTCTGTTCACAAGCCTGTGAAGCAGTGCATCAGTTATTTGTGTGTCACAAGGTAAGAGAAAAATCTAAGCATATTATTTGTTAAGAAAAAATGACATACTGTTTTAGATTAAGTTATGAAAAGTAGGTTTGATACTATTTTGTGTTGCATGGTAATTTTGACAAGTTAGTGAATCTGAATATTTTTAATTCCTAAATTAAATGAGGTAATAAGAAAGAGTTAATGAGCTATTGTTGATAGGCAAAATTCTTCTCCCAAACATATACTATTTTTAAAAGAACTTATGTAGAACTGGCTGTTCATTTTTATGTAGACATTTTCTGCAGATATAAGTCTTAAAGATTTGCTATCCCTACACTCCATAGTTCAAATTGTTCATTTTTCACAGTTAAGATGGGTGAGATATTAACTATATGTACACACACACACAGAAAGCTCTGAATATGAAGTTGATTTTTAATTATCTTGGGAAATGGTTTTAAAATTAAAAATTGCTGAATTGATTCCCTTTATTGAATCTGTAAATCTAGGTAAATTGTTATAGCTTATAAAAATAGGAATTTGAGGCAAAGAATGGAGCTAAGCATTAGGATTTACTTGTAACTGAGGTCAAGTATTCAACTGATTGCTTAAGCACCCGCATAGAGACAGTTTTGTGCATTTAGTCCTTCTCTCTGCTCCCTGAGTCTTCATATGTTTACCTGGAAGTCTGAAGCAAAACTGTACTTTCCTTTGCTGAAATGCCAGTATATCCTCACATGATCAAGTAACCAAACACAGAAGGGTCCCAGATTGGGTGGAGAACTTCTATTGAAAGTCTGGAAACTGGGAGATAAAGGGATGGGATTGTGTGAATGGACTTCTTCTTTACCAACTGCATATTCAATTCAATTCAGTTCACTCTTAGCCCCAATACAGTTCAGTACAGAACAGAATAGAATAACACAGCTGGAAGGGACCTTGGAGGTCTTCTAATCCAACCCCCTGCTTAGGCAGACAACCCTACACCACTTCAGACAAATGGTTATCCAACATCTTAAAAACCTCCAGTGTTGGAGTATTCACAACTTCTGGAGGCAAGTTGTTCCACTTTATTAGTTGTTTTGTCAGGAAATTTCTCCTTAGTTCTAAGTTGCTTCTCTCCTTGATTACTTTCCACCCATTGCTTCTTGTCCTACCCTCAGGTGCTTTGGAGAATAACTTGGCTCCCTCTTCTTTGTGGCAGCCCCTGAAATATTGGAACACAGCTAACATGTCTCCCCTAGTCCTTCTTTTCATTAAACTAGACATACCCAGTCCCTGCAACCAGCCTTCATATGTTTTAGCCTCTAGCAGTCCCCTAATCATCTTTGTTGCTCTTCTCTGCACTTTTTCTAGTCTCAACATCTTTTTTTACATCATGGCAACCAAAATTAGCTGCAGTATGCCAAGTGATTGGAATTTGATTGACCCCCCCCATCTGCCCCTCCCAACCTGCCTCCCCACCTACCCTCTCTCCTATATTCTGTTGTTTATTAGCTCAGCTGATTCGTGTGGCAGAGTGGATTCCTGTGCCTCAGCTGAGCTAAGAAACAGCTGATGGTCAGTCTTAGTCTCATTTGCCCTAAGCAGAAGTAAGAAATAGCTGATGGTCAGTGTTTGTGTGTGTGGGAATGTCACATTAAGCTCTGGGTCTCCGAGGGAATCTCTCTCTTGTCTGCACCTTTTCCAAGACTGCTCAGCTCACTTCAATTGGAGTTTTTTGCTTTTGTTTTAATGCCCGAGGATACCTTATGTGCTTTGGCAACATCATGCTTGTTTTTCGTTGTTTGGTTTAGTGTGTATGTGTGCTTAAAGGGCTTTCACTGCTTGGAGCTTTGCAAGCTGAGTGACTGTTTGCTCTGGGTTTCTTTGCAAAGAGGTGTCAAAAGATTTACCCTGATGCCCCTCCACTCGGGTGAAGCTCCCATGTTTTTATCATATTTTTACCATATTTTTAACACCAGAAAAGCAAGCAAACACAATAGAATAATAAACCAACACTTCTTGCTGCTTTTTTCCTTTCCCTCAGGCAGCAGGGGAAAGCCTAAGGAGCTTAACTAGATGTCTGGGCATTCAGCCAAGAGCACTTATCACCTGGTTGCAAGGCTGGTTAAACACACCGGCGCAGCACTCACCCTGAAGAAAGCCACTGAGAAACCCAGACAATATAGAGTCTATAGATGATAGAAATTCCCTGCCTTGCCTCTGAGGGGATTATTCCCAAAAAATAGAAATCACCTAGCCACAGGAACTCTCGGCCTTGTCCCTGATAGGATTATCTCCCAAAATAGAAACTGGACAAAAGAGGTACCTTTTGAGGCAGGAAGGGAAGCCCTGGAGAGATATCTAACACAATAGAACGAACTATCAATTCACATTGCCCCAGGGTAGAAAAAAATGTATAAAACTAGACTCATGTAGAAATCTAGACTCGAGACCCCAGAAGACCACCTTGCAAGGCAGGAATGCTGAAGTTCCTTTTGCTGTCACTGAATTGCTTTCCTGTAATAAATCCTGTTTTTCAGTAGCTCGCTGTCTTCAAATCTTTCATCATCGGCTTCTCCCACTGGAATGGACCAGAAAATTCTTCTAACAGAGGCATTGTGCTATGCTTAGTTGGTTTGATCTCTTGGGGTTTTTTATGGTTTTCTCAGCACTTCCTCAATATGCTGGATCTTTGGTTTGTTTTGCTGGAAGGGTAAGTTAGAATTATCTCTTCCCCCCTCCCACCTTCCTTTCCTTCCTTTCTTAGAAGCAGAAAGTCACAGGGCTAATCTAGAAGGGAATCACTGTGCTGAACCATTAAAAAGTGCAGGTGGTGGTCATTCACCCTCTTTCT